ACAGAGCCCTCAAACGAGTGTGGGGTGCTTTGCCCTGAGGCATGTGCTGTTTTTAACAAATTCGAGTCACCTCCCTTGCTTTCTAGACACTGCTCACGGGCGTGGCAGGCTAGGGGCGGCTGAGGCGAACCGTCTTTCCCCTGATACTGACTGCACGATAAACCTGCAACCCCTTCTGTCTCTCAGAATCCTGTCCGTGACACCAATGTGTGTCAGGATCCACAAGGTGGGATTTGTGATGTGGTTCTTTCATTCTATCTTCAAGAACTAAAGTTTAGCAGCAAACCAGGGACTTAAACACCAAAACACACACAGAGCTTGCACCCACCTGTCCTCCAGCATCCTGGGCTGGGATATCTTGCAAGTAGACCACCTAAAATAAAAAAAACCAAGGGATTAAAGTTATAGCAGAAACCGCGACCCCAGCAAGAACAACTGCTTCTCTCCACCAACCGAGGCTCACCTTCCACCTGCTTCGCCTTCCCCGCTGCTATCCAGCTTTACTTCCTAGAAATAAATACAAAGAGCAGAGCTGTAACACAGTGACCGGTTCCAGCCCCGCTGCAAAGTAAAACCGTGACCGACCTTCTCAGGGGGACCCCCATCATCTGGGATGCAGTACTCTGCCATGAGGTCAATCTGTCTGAATCTGAAAGAAAGTTAGGAAAAAAGTCAAAGTGCTGCAGGGTAACTTCACAGCTCCAGACACCTGCTGCCAACATAAGAATACCAGCTAGACTCCAACTACAGCCCGTATTACAAATCTCCAATTACAAGTGCCCGGGACTTGTCCTTAAACACCTACAACTGGGCTGGGCGCCAGGGCAGAGCAGCTCCGGACCAAATACCCCCAGACACCCGTGACACGAGGGGACATGACAGGGAGACAAAGTCCTCACGAGGACCGAGAGAATGCTGAACGTGATGACTGAGGAGGGACCCGAGGTGAGCCTGCCGGGCTCGGGTGACCCCGGAGGAAAAAGATGCTAATGGAACAACTTTTTCCAAGAACCGCAGAGACGGATGCCTGAGAATCCTGTGGCTGGAAGCCTCTGCCTGCCTTTGAATCGGCACAAGTCCTTATCCACTGTAAAAAAACATTGCTGCATATAGCTGTTGACACAGCTGAGAACGAGACCTAAGAAAACATCCGATCACATGCTTCTAAAGACAGATGCGATTCTGATGCGTGTCTGAGCTCCCGAATCGAAGCTTTGCTGGCGCCGGGCCGAGGAACGCAAAGATGGGAGATGAATGGAAGGACCCCGGGGTTTCTCATAAGCCCCTGGGAGGGCTAAGGCAATAGAGATGTTACATGAGATGCACATAAGACAAAGAAGGCATGAGAGACAAGTGACAACACACCCTGGGACTGCTCTGCCCTGTTCGCCTCACCATTGCGAACCAAAGTGAGGCTTTCCCTCACTGGGGCCTATGGGATCATTTCCAGAACCTCCCCATCCCCAAAGCTCACTCAAAAACCCAAACCGATCTGAGTCCCAACCCACCGCCCTGCTTTGATCCCCTCTGCGGGCTCCACTTATCTCTCGGAGGGCTGAAGATGTGAGTCACAGCGAGAGGCCGGTCGGGTGCCAAACAAAGCCACCTCGCTGTCTGGGAACTTCTTCTCTCACCGGGCTGTTGTCTCAGACAAGTATCATCACCTATGATAAAGAAAACCAAATATAAGTGCACAATCTTAGTGGCATATTCACCAAAACCCAACTCCTACTCACCGTCTCTTAGGAACTCCCGGGTCCTCCGGCCGCACGCTTCGGCCACGCTCTGAGGCGGACGCCGTGGTCGCAGGGTACGCCTAGGATAAACGGAGAGGTGGCGATGTAGTGTTGCTAAAAGTTGAGCGCGCCCTCGCTGCTCCTTCCGATGCCCCAAACTCACCGGGACTCCTCAGCTAAAGGGTACCTGGACCGCACCGACACGTGGACGAGGTCGAGACTTCGTGACGGACTCTGGTAATATTTGCTGGGGCTCACCAGAGAAGCAAACTGGGTCTCTTGACAGGTCAGTGAGGGGGCCTCAGCACAGCATCAGGAGGCAGCCTAAAACACACCAACAAGCAGGGATGCTTGGAGTTGCACCAGAAACTGAGACCCCAGCAAGAACAACTGCTTCTCTCCACCAACCGAGGCTCACCTTCCACCTGCTTCGCCTTCCCCGCTGCTTTCCAGCTTTACTTCCTAGAAATAAATACAAAGAGCAGAGCGGTAACACAGTGACTGGTTCCAGCCCCGCTGCAAAGTAAAACCGTGACCAACCTTCTCAGGGGGATCTCCTCATCTGGGACAGATGCTCTGCCAGGAGGTCAATCCGTCTGCATCTGAAAGAAAGTTAGGAAAAAAGTCAAAGTGCTGCAGGGTAACTTCACAGCTCCAGACACCTGCTGCCAACATAAGAATACCACCTAGACTCCAACTACGGCCCGTATTACGGATCTCCAATTACAAGTGCCCGGGACTTGTCCTTAAACACCTACAACCGGGCTGGGCGCCAGGGCAGAGCAGCTCCGGACCAAATACCCCCAGACACCTGTGACACGAGGGGACATGACAGGGAGAGAAAACTCTGAGACAAGAAAGTCCTCATGAGGACTGAGAGAATGCTGAACGAGATGACCGAGGAGGGACCCAAGGCGAGCCTGCCGGGCTCAGATGACCCTGGAGGAAAAAGATGCTAATGGAACAACTTTTTCCAAGAACCACAGAGACGGATGCCTGAGAATCCTGTGGCTGGAAGCCTCTGCCTGCCTTTGAATCGGCACAAGTCCTTATCCACTGTAAAGAAACACTGCTGCATATAGCTGTTGACACAGCTGAGAACGAGACCTAAGAAAACATCCGATCACATGCTTCTAAAGACAGATGCGATTCTGACGCCTGTTCGAGCTCCCGAATCGAAGCTTCACTGGCGCCGGGTCGAGGAATGCAAAGATGGGAGATGAACGGGAGGACCTGGGGTTTCTCATAAGCCCCTGGGAGGGCTAAGGCAAGAGACATGTTACACAAGATGCACAGAAGATACAGAAAGCACAAGAGACAAGTGACAACACACCCTGGGACTGCTCTGCCCTGCCTGCCTCAGATTGTTAGCTAAAGTGCGCCTTTCCCTCACTGTGGCCCCAGAGGCCATTTCCAGAACCTCCCCATCCCCATAGCTGACTCAAAACCCCTAACCGGTGTGAATCCTACTCCACCGCCCTGCTTTGATCCCCTCTGTGACCACAGCCCTCGACTTACCTCCCTGAAGTGAATCTGTGCGAGAGGACCATCCGCTGCTAAGGAAAGCTGCTGCGGGGGTGGTTCCCTTTTGTGTTACGATGAATCTGCTGGGAGAATCTGAAATATCGCACTTGATGTGACCTAGAACTTCTGGAAATTGCAATCCTCCTAAAAAAAGAAAAAAAGCCTAGAAGAAGAGTCATTATAAAAGCATCTTATTGCCCCTGAACCCCCAACACAAAATCATGAACTTAAATACTCCCTGTGTTTAATATTGTTTTCTTCAAGGTGTTTTCAAAACATCTACTGCTTCAAATGCCCAAAAGATGCCTGCTCTTAGCAGGCTGAAGTAAATTGAAAGAGCCTCTTCAATGAAATGAGAGAGGAGCTCTTTACCCCCACTGATTCCCCTGGAGGGAATAATGCCCCTTAGCACAGCCTGGTGTTAATATACCCCTAATTGGGCCCACGTCTTTTTCCCATGATGCCTGGGAAAGGGGAGGCAGCAAATCCCACCGGGTATAAAAGCCCTCAGAGGGATCGTAGCTGTTTGGCTCCTCTGAGTTAAATTTGAGGTAAGGAGCTCTGTGTAGAAGAAAACTCTTTGGGAAAAAAACAGTGTTTTCTTTTTTGCTACAATTACTCAGAACAATGGAGCAAAGGAAAAAAAAAAAGGTAAGAAGAAAAACTTTGTGTTTCAGCAGTGTTGCCAGCTAAGTTGGATAATTTATGGACTTCCATAATTATTTTTCAGTGATTACTAAGTAGCACTCCACCTGTGATTAATTAGGGTGGGGAAGAATAGTATTGATTTGAATGGTGTCTCATAGGGACCTTTAATCAGGGCTCTCTACATTCTAAATGAAAATAAGAAAAAGACTGGACTCCCAGGTGGCATTACCATTACACACCTGCTGGGCTTGCTCCCATTGGAAATACTTGGTGCTAGGGTGTGGGTAGAAGTGCCCTGAAATGCAGCTTTAAACCCTTGAAATGCTGGAAAAGGCAATGCTTAAAATGAGCAAACAGGACAGCTAACTCCATTTAAACAGATACAGTGGTAAATAAATGGCTTCTCCCCTTTAATTTAAACCCCTCAGATATTGGGGAAAAGAGTGGTTTTCCTCGCTTTAAATCTCTCTGGTGATGGAAAAGGGGGCATTTTTCCCTTAATTCAGATCCATAAAAAAGCATCATCCATGCTTTCCCGTTCCACTTAAAGTGGGAAAAAATAGAAAATGGGCAGTCTCTGTCAATTAATACCTCTAAGAGCACAGAAAAGGCAGAGTTACCTCCAATTGAGACTATTAAAATTGCAGGGAAAGTGGATTCCTCTTCAATTTGAACACAGGCAATTGTGAAAAAGGAAGCTTTTTCCCTCAGCTTAAACCCCTTTTTTCCTGATAACCCATCCTTTTTTTGGGGCTCTGAAGAGGGACTGGTGAGGTAGAAGAGGAAAGTTGAAAACTGCAGAACTAGAAACTGTCTTGTTAGTTTTTGCACACACTGAAGTATAACGGGTACTGCTGCTAAGACTACAGTTAACACTTGTTTAAACAATTAAGCTTATTTTACAGAGTTCTCTTAGCCAAGGTGCAAAGCTTAAACCTTTAAACAAATTGTCCAGCTTCTCTAACTTTTGATGGTCAGATTGATTCACTTTAAAATTATCAATATGAGTTTGGTTGGCTAAATTTTTCAAATTTTGCAGCTGTGTATGAATGGGAACAGTATGATCTGACAAACAGATGGTATCAAAGCTTGCAGTCTTTGGCTGAGGCAACCCAGGTATTTATCTCGGGTTGATTTACAGGTAAAGTTTTACTACAAAAACTAAAGCAAAAGGGTAAAAACAACATGCATTCATGCAAATAACGGGATTTTGTTTTTTTTTTTCTTGAATTGTCTCTGGTAGGTCACTTTCTCTCAAAGTCTTTCTAAGTTCCTTTGCTTGAACTGTCACTGTTTGTGCTACAGTATCTGCTTTTGAATAATCTCTTTCTTTATTTCTCTCTATTTCTCGCTCCCGTTCTCCCCCGTGTTTTGTGGCTGCTGGTGGTGGTGCAGGGGCATTCAAGAGTCGTGCGCGCTGTTTTGTCATGGGCTGTGATGGTGGCCGCGTAGGTGAACCCGGAAGTGGCAGTACATCGCTGCACAGTGGCCGTGGCTGTCGCTATTTCGCGTTGTCGGGGACAGTTGTTGGCATGGCAGATATAGACGAGATCTGTGCCGGTGTTAGCAGCGGGGCAGAGACAGGCAGGGGGCGTGTGCCGCCGTCGGGTGGCTTCGGTGGTGGACGCGGGGACATGAAGACGGAAGGCGGGGACTGGACAGTGGCTGGGCTGGGCGGTGGCAGAGGCGACGCGGGTGTCAGCAGTTGTAGAGCCGGGGTCCCGTCCCCTTTTCTCCCCCTCCGCGGCTTGAGAGGATGGTACGAAGGGCGGTAGAAAAGCTGTGGCTGCGGGCAGGCACAGGGCAGCCGTGGGTAGCGGCAGGAGCATCGGCGATAGAAGTGGTGACTGCGCATGCGTGGATGACGTCAGCGCCGCAGGGCAGCATGGGGGAGTGCTGGACGGCAGCGCGAATTTCGGATCGGCCCGCGCCGCACAGAATAGTGTCACTGGGCGGCGGCGGGGCAGG